AGGGTATAAGCGCCAGACTGATGTCTGGGAGTGTGTAGCACCAGGTTCCCGTCAGGGAACAAGGTGCTGAAGCTAGATGTCCTTGTGGGCGTGAGTAAAGGCTCCAGGAGGTTTGTCTACACCCGTGGTTCTTGACCCTGTCTCTGCATCAGAATAACCCACATACCCACTCTGAGTTTCCTATAAAAGTGACCGGCGCATGAATGAGAATCTCGGGGGGCGGGGGGGGGGGGAGGTTCCTGAAAGCTTATTTTGCAAAACAGAGCATCCAGAACAAGGGACAAGAAATTAACTTCTAGGAAATTAGGGACTTTGTCAAGTGAGGCCCCAGCACTGGCTCAGGATGGGGTAAGCCTTCAGGTGAAGGGCCTTTGTGGGGAAGGCAGCAGAAGGGGCGTAACGTGCCACCAAGAGAGGGGAAACCTATACTGTCACCAGTACTCCCGGCACACCTATCTGCTTGAATAAAACAACTAGCCATTCAATATGCACATCACCCATAAGCACATGCCAAAATATTTTGAGAAGGGGTTATATACAAAATTGTCTAAGATGCAGGCCAAGAAAAAAGAGCCTATTTTGACTCTAACAGAACTAGGACTAGTAAAGGAATTATTCTTTTACCTACAAAATAGACCCTTCTTGGAAAATGCCTTCAAAAGTTCCCTCAAAAAACGTGTTCAGTGCTCTCAGTCAGCTTTTTGAGTCATTCTCTCAGAAAATCAAGTTAATATCCTAGCACAGAAGGCATCTGATATGTCAGAATCTATCTACATCATCAGTCTCTTATTAACATGGCAGCACTGAAATACTTCTTAGGAAATCAGTTAAAATGTGAGAATTCCCTAATAACAGCTCTTTGAAGTTTTATACACTCCCTAGGCATTGACCATAGGGATTTAAAGAAACAGCAACATGACTTTTTAATTCTTCGCATTGACAGTTTGTTAGAAGTGTGTGCAAACTAATAGTAAACTGGTTTTCATAGGGTCATATATGAGGAAAGTGCATGGGGTTAATTTGTGGTCTTTTACATTGTCTCAGCACATATACGACACCTTCGTTTGCCTGGTACTGTTACAAGTGCTTTAGGAATACTGACTTACTTAATTGGCCTAATAAGCCTGTGAGAAAGGCACTGTTATTGCTGTTGCCTTCTTGAGAGAATCGAGGCTCAGAGAAATTAAGGGTTCAGATCCAGGCTGCCTCACCCAGTCTCCTATAACCAGTTCACCATGTCAACCCTCGTTTTTCCTTTTTCCCAAAGAATCTTAAAATCAAGACTGTGTACCTATAAATCGATCACCTGTAGAAGATGGTAGAGTAAAAACGGATTCTTTCCCCCTCATACATGTAAGGCATGAAGTTTCACTCCAGCTTAGCAAAGCCCTTTTAATTGGATATCACAGCCCCTACACCCTGGGTATTTCCCCTCCTCATTTCTAGAATCTTCATTCTTCTCTCCTCCCTCTATTCCCTGGCCTCTTGGTCTTAATTTGTGTTACTCACAGCCCTAACTTTTCCTCTGGCCTGCAGACCCATCCAGGCAATTCTTCTCAGAGCTCAAGAAAGACACTTCTAAAACAGAAAACTGTTGTCTCATCTATCATAAATCTCTCCAACGTCACTGCTTTGTTCTGTGGATAAAAGCCAGACAATTTAGCCTAACAGATAAAGCACTTCCTGTTCCTGCCCAGTTCTTTATCTTGCTCCATACCCTGCACACAGTAGGTGGTCTTGTTCTTCTACAAGTAGCCTTTATTGGAGCCATATTGAGCTGAGCTGTTGGCCGTTCTATCCCTCCTGCAATTCCCTTCATCCCGGCCCCTTCCTCCAAGGGGCAACACCAATCTCCATGACATCATTCTAATGCCTCCTTCAAAACCCAGCTAAAAGCATCATTTTTCTCCCACCCAATTGCTGATCTAGATGCCCCCATTCCTTGATCGTGTGGTAAAAGGCATTTCTGCACTCCCCCCTAAGTGTGATCTGCAGATGGCCACACCAACAGTAGGTGGGAGCTCATTGGATATGCAATTTCCCAGCAACCCATGACGCGGGGGCTGAGCAGAGCAGCCCTGCACTGCACCATGAGCTTCTAAAAGCACACAGCATGTCTTTCTTACCAGGTTCTGGCTCCCTAGCAAGTCTCCCACTGCCTGGGATAAAGCAAAGGATCAATGAATAAAGGTTGAGTTAACTATTTGAGTGATTCAGTAGACCATATGATTGTTTGTTTTTCTCGGGACTAAATTATCCAGGAAACGCTAAATATTCTTTAGTCCGTGAATGCCTCTACACATTCTCAGAGCTGAAATTCTTCTTTAATTTTGAACTGGTTGAGACTCAAGTATGCTTGTTTGTTTCAGCACTATTACAAGTACTGCAATAATTTAAAGTTTAGAGTGGTTAAGTACAAAAATGAAAATTCTGTAAGATGCATAGAATGTCTCTCAAAAGTACATTTTTACATATTCTACTAGATTGCGGAAAGTGGTGGCCTCTGCTTCCGGCTTTCAAAGATTATTTGCAGTTTTTTTAAATAGTCATTTTCTTTCGACTATATTTTGAATATAGTTTAGGGAGGAAAATGCAAATTGCAGTCCCAGTAAAGACTGCTACATATCAAGATATCATCTCTTAGACTTCTGGTTTCTCACGGAAGTCTGTGTGCTATATGCTAGTCATATTTTTCGTAGTACTTCAAGTTAGAATTAACAAGACTAGTATGACTTATTTATAAATATTTCAGGTATAATTTCACTCCTCTAAAACAAATTGATGTAAAAGAGATAGTCTATTAAATATGAACTATTCACCAAAGTCATAAAAACAAAAAGTATGCCTTAATTTTGAAATAATTTTATGTACTATTGTTACACAAAGTATAAAAGGACATCATCCTTGAAGTCTAACACAGCCCCTCCTCCACACCACTTAGCCTGCATACTACCAAGAGAGCTTAAAGAGAGAACAGTAGGAACAAACTAATGTTTAAGGACTAGTAGCCTAATAGGAAACTTTAAGTACAGATTTGACAAAGTAAGGAGTGGAGGGTTTTGCTTAATTATGCATCTCGAGGTTAGGGGTTTCCCAGATGGTAAAATAGAAAATGCCAGCATCTTCCATAAAACTGCTGTCCAATGACATTTAAGAAAATAGGCAAATAGAAAACAATTATAAAGATTGTGAGGGTCTGCATTAAATATGAACACCCTCCCCACTGCCCTCCCTCAAAAAAGAGTCAGAAAAGGCAACAGAGAGGCGAGATACCCACATTGAGGATATGCACCCAAAGATTCTTCAGAGGTGGATCTACAGGTGCTGGTGTCTTACACTGCTGTGTGTGCATGAGAGATGGTCAACCATTCATCATCTTCATCTTTTCCTCACAGATATTTTCATCTCATTTACCTCACAATGTCTTGGCTGAGAAGCTCTTTTCACTAGTGCTTATGTTGGTTACAGTTTAATATATGAGAAAATTCTATTTTTGAAAATGTGTCCCCATTTTAGTTTAGTGAGATGATATATTCTAAAAGTGGAGGACATTAGGAAATGTTGAGCAAAGGGAGTAGCTGGTCAATAACTATAAATGGCTCAGAAAAAAAGGCTGAAACGTAAGGATTAGAAATCAAAAGTGTAGCCACCTTCTACTGAAGTATCTCAAAGGCAGGCACAGCCCCCCTCTAGCACTCATGGTAACCACAGGTTTTCAGGGCCTCTTGCTCTTGTTAGGGCCTCTAACTTTCATATCACTTAGTTCACCAGGAGTGCTTTCCTCCTTTCTGCCTACCTCCACCCCCCCCACCCCCCCGTTTAAGTCCATGACTTTTGTAGGCTTGTCATAAAGTCAACTGGGAAAAAAGTGTTATTTCAATGACATGTTGATCCTGAGTGCTAACAAAGGAGAAAGATAATTTCCAGTTGTCTTGGGATTTTGAAAACAAATATGTGAATTAAGTTTAAATAGCAACAGAGAAGAGAGAATGGCTAAGACTTTCCTGGATTAAAGATCTCTGCAATTCAGGTTGTGTCTGTACTTAAGCTGATGAGAATGTGTAGTTCCAGTTCCTGTATTCTTGGAAATGACTCCAAAAATCCTCTGAGCAAGTATGCTATAGAATCCGAAGTGGTTAAGCAAATATACAAGGTTTCACAATAAATTCTAGTATAAAAGCAACAGAGAAATAATACATGTACATGTGTATATAATTATGTATAAATGTGTGTGTATTCATGTACTTGATATGAAAAAATAGAAAACTAGTTGAGCACATAAAAATTATATTCAAAATTTTCATATGACATTTATTTTTTTTTAATTCCTAGAATCAAGCTATTATAACCCGGCAGGAACAAGCAGCACTGGTCACACCTAAAGCTAGTTATAATTCAGCATCACCCCCTTAGTACAGCCAGATTCACAGACATTTGAACAACTATAGCAGCAGAATGCCAGCCAATCCTAAATTCCATCAGGGGAATATAAATGATCCACTGACTCCCTCTTATTAACTTAGGAGTCAGACTTTGCCCAGCCTGTGTGGCTCAGTGGACTGAGCCTTGTCCCATGGACTGAGGGGTCCCAGTTAGATTCCCTGTTAGGGCACATGCGCAGGTTGCAGGCTCCATTCCCAGTAGCGGGTATGCAGGAGGCAGCCGGTGGATATTTCTCTCTCACATTGATGTTTCTATCTCTCCCTTCCTCTCTCTCTAAAAACAATCAATAAAAGCATTAAAAAAATTTTTTTTAAGTCAGGCTTTGAACAATGCAATTAATTACTATATGCATTGTTCTCTTATGCTTTTGCTTCAAACTTACTTCTTTAGGGATCAGAGATTATCTGAATACTTAGCAAGCAAATGATCCTGCCAACCCATCTCTGTAAAACGTAGTGGCACCAAAAGTGCCAGAATGAAATGTTTTACTGTTTCAAGGGACCTACAAAAATGCAAAGGAAAACAAATCTATGAATCAGTTTTATTTTTATTTGCATTTAACATGATTATACACATTCATGTGTCTAACAAGTCTGCACTGTTACATTAAAAATACAGTACAATAACATTCAACATGAGGTACTTCATATTTATATATTTTCCTTCATAAATAATGCTGTAAGCTACTAAATTCAAGCACTCTGATGCACAAGTGGCTAGTGTCTTGAATTAGCCAAGCTTATTTCAACATCTTAAAAAAACAAAAAAGACAGTTCAGTGCAATAATTATGTAGAAATGAGACCATTTACTTAAATACTCTATTAAGATATGCTTAAAGAATGTTACATTAGAACTGCTAGCCTAGCTCCCCTGATCCCCAGTATGAACAACAAAGACTGCCAGGTACATTGGGAAAAGCATCTACAGAGTCTTTTGTTTAATAAATTTGTGTTTATACACTAGAGCTGCCTGCCTTGTCAGAACAGTTTCTAGTTTTAAAAGCTACAAAATTTAAGATTACCAAAGAAAATAAAGCAAGCACATCAGCCTTCATTCCTTGTTGTTGAAAATGCACAAGGGAGAACAGGACTTAAAATATAAAATTTCTTATTCTAAATAAAAATTTCAAATTTCACCCACAGTTCTGGGCACCAGCCAATCAGGTGATAAATGTGTTTTTTTCTTTAGGTAATAGTAATTAACATACAATTAGGTTCTCTTATGCCTGGTGTACAGGATCTCAGGTGGTGTGCACCCAGCAGGCCCCCAGCCACATGGAGGGCAGCTGGCTAACAGGAGCACAGACAGTGTTACTGAACGAACAATCTTCACTCGTAAGGTTATCACACTCACCTCTCCTCACAATCTCATATGATGAAATTAGTGCTAAAGTTTCTCCTCTTCTGGCTTAAAAATGAGTGCCTTCTAATCAGGTATATAACCTATCAATTTGCATGGTAGCTATGAATTCCTGAAATGTTTAATCATAATTTAAAAGCAAAATCATTTGTACAAGTATTTTGTAAATTGAAAACGTACCTTTATTTCATGATACTTTGCCAACACCACTATCTGTCATTTTCCTAATAAGAAATAATTGTTAGGTAATTTTGGAAAGTTGTCCTGGGAGTACTCATTTATAATCACCAGTAACAGCTTTTGATCATTGATGCTAACAGACATAGGTAATGGCAAAGATGATTAAAACATTTCCCATAATCCAGTGTTCTCCTCCATTAGGGAAGCTGGCCAAAGCAACAAACCCTTGTCTACAGGGAAAGAAGTAGCCCAAAAACACAGTGAACAGGAAAAGGGCAGTCACTCACTGGGGCCTTGCTGGGGCCAGCAGGGGGAACACTTCTGTCCCACCTCTCACTGGCCAGGCAGGGAGGAGACGATTCCTGAGTCGGCAAACAACTTGCATGCACTTGGGCGCCCAGGCACATGCAGCCACCCCAGGACTAACCCCAGGCTCCAGACAAGCCAGCTTCAGGCTTGCAGAGCAGGAGAAGGAGGCGGCGAGAGACCACACTCGGGGTGGCGAAGGAAGCCATCTCAGGATCACACTGAGCAGAAGAGCTGCCCAGAAACACATGGATACTTCACCTGGAAGTGAACACAATGGACACTACCAGGGTCGTGGGCACTAAACCATCACAAGCCATCAGAGAAGGAGAACTTTTTGAAGAGTGTTTCCCTCCTTTGTTTACATTATCCATGGACAAACAAGAGAGCTGGATGTGATGCTGATGCAACGAATAGTAGGTACAATCAGGTGCTTTGCTCCAGATCATGTTTTAAAAACCCTGCAGGAAAATATTGGCACTTTAAAATGGCCAGAGGCCAGCTTCTAGCAGTCCAGGAAGTAGAATTATAATTAACTAAGAAGATAATATGTGATCAAATTAGAACAGGTAAAGTATACTTCAGATTAAAAAAAAAAAAAGAATAAAGTATCTTAGTATGTTAACATATTGTGCTACATAACTAATTGTTTTTCCATTCCTCTAAAGAATTGTTTGGTCCTCTTGTCATTAAAAAAAAAAAAAAGGGAACAGGAATTCTATACAGTACGACTTATGAAAACAAGTCAATGGTGGGGATCAGAAGCTAAATGGGGAGAAAAGATTGACTTTTGCAAACTGCATTTTATTGTGCCATTAATTAACCCATTTGTAGTATGGGACTCTTTTAGGTTTCCTTTTTAAACAGCTTTAGTTTAAAATAATAGGCCTGAAACTTTTTTCTAATGTCCACAAAACTTTATAATTTAGTTACTTCTGAACTGCAATACTTTGCCTTCCAATGTAACAGAATAAAAATCTGCTTATAGCGGACGTCATGGCCTAAACAAACATCCAATTTCTTATTTTCCCACTTTATACTGACACTTTGTAGTGTTTAATAATTAACAATCTTATGAATTTTAAGATTTAAGAAAAAGCCATGCCCAGAAGTAAAATATTTAAAAGAAAAAAAAAGAGCTAAACATGACTACTGTCTACTTTCTAAATTATTACTTATTATGAAACAAAACTACTTTCAAAATTGTACACTGAGGTTTATCCGTGTTTTTTTGTTTCTTTTTTTTGGGGGGGGGGGTTCTGTTTAAAAATAACTCTTATCATTATCATTTTAGACTATTTCTATTTGTTAAAATAAAGCACTAGAGGAAATTTGAGGTGATTCAAAAATTTTCTTAAGAGGGACAGAACTGGAAGGTCAGTGGGGCAGATTCTCCCCAGCTTATAGATGAACGCAATTCCCAAAACCACAAAGCCCTAATAAGAACTTGGCTCTTTTAAGCATATAGTTAAAAGCAGAATGCTACATTTTTGCCTGTACATAATTAAAAGGTTGAAAGAAATTAGAAACTGCCCACAGCTTCATTCATTACAAATTACCTGCGCTGATCACATATCTGCAGATGAGCTAAGCATCAAGCAAGTAGGAACCAGATGTGCACCTCAGAGCTCACACTGCTTCGGGCAGTGTTTTCAAGCATAGAATATGAGCTCGGGAATCTGCCCTCCCTGTACCCCAGTGCCATTGGTGCTATCTGAGGAGCACTGAAACTGGACGGTCACTTTGCCACACTGAACCTCCGTCATGCCTTCCTGTCCGAAGTAGCTGAGTTCATTGCCATCCAGTATTACGCTAGCTGTGTAGAAGGTGTCTGGCTCGATCTGCACTGGGTACTCAAACCACACAGGGAAGGTGTTGCTGGAGCCATCTGAGAAGTACTTGCTCAAGTTCTGCCCCAGGACAACGCCCTGCCGTTTGAGTTCAATCTTGGCGCTGTACTCCGCAGAGCCGCAGCTGGAGCCATACAGCCCAAAGCCAGCGATGAACACTCTCTTGTCTACTGCAAACTGAATGCTGTCGCAGCGGCCCCGATAGCGCCACTGGTTGCTGCGATAGGCACACGACTGGAAACGGTGACAGCGCTGGGGGACAAGGCCCTTGCGGGCTTTACTCACAAACTGCAGCTCAGGCTTTTTGGCTGCAGTGTACCAAAGGAAGATGTCGTTGGTCTCATTGAGCGTTAGAACTCCGGACTGTGCAGCACCATTTGCAAAATCATCCAGGGCCATTGTAGGTATGCGGATCAAGTAAAGCGCCTTTCCGAGGACCTTGCGTTTATTTTCAATACTCAGAGCTAGATCTTGCCGTTGGCATTCTACTTCAGCCCAATTGAGAGCTGCCTCAAAAACAACGATTTCTTTGGCATTCAGAGTTTCCCTGCGGAGGATACTTTCTAGTGTCTGGAAGTCGATGTCACAGAATCCCTCAGACTTAAGAGCTAGCTCAGCCTGGGCATCGATCACCTCCCAGCAACGCTGGGTCAGGTCTGGCTCCTCGAACAAGCAGCTCTGGGACAGGAGCACACAGGCGTTCTTGGCACTCAGGCTGGTCTCCAGGAAATTAACGCAGGCTCTGGCGAGGTGAGGGACAATGTACTTTTTGGCAGCATAAAGAGTAGCCAGCACCGTGTCAGCAGCCAAGTCAATTTCATCACAATAGATATATCTGAAAAAAGTACAGCACGTGAGTGGAATTTTCACAAAATGAGTGTGTCCAGCAAGAACAGATACTACTTTCAAGCTAGTTCAAAAAAAGTCATCTTGGGTGATGATTACAAAAATGATTAGGGATTAATAAAACATCTGAAATATGTTCATAAATTAATATTGCAACTCAACAGTAAGTTTGTATAATTAAAGATATTAGCTTTGTGTTACCATTCTAGCCTCTATATTATAAACAGCATTTAATTAAAAAAAAATACTAGAATGGCATATCAGAGACAGTTAATATTAGGAAAAAATCAGCAAAATTCTACTACATGTACATGTTTATATTTAATGAGAGAAAAAAAAAAAACCTCCCTGTGTTTTAGAAGCAATATTATGTTTTACTTTAAAATTTTTATGTACATGCAGATAGAAACAAATGTCTTTAGTATTAAAATGTTATCAATGATTCCATCTTGATACTTCTAAGTATGACTTGGATTTCTCCTAAATACAAAATGAAACCTGAGATTAAATAAGACATTTTTTCAAGTAGTTCCAAGTTCAGTGGACTATCAAATATGGACTTCCACACTGTCTTCCAGTTACCTTACATAGAATCTAAGACAGGTTTTGTAGTGGGCTTTTTTTTAATTTTTTTTTTTTTTTATTAACTCTAGACTCTTTCTTTTCCCCCACACATTCCTTCCACCTTCAGAATGGATTAATATATTGTTCCAGATAAATTTAATTAAAAGACAAATAAAGAAAGCCTTAATATGCACTATTTCTGTGATTCTGTAATGTCAGGAGATAAAACATTTCTTGGTGTTTTGGGGGACAGTGCAGCCTCCTAGAATGGTATGTAAAGGTAGAAATCAGACTGCAATGGTTCACCAGGTGAATCAGAGAGCACTACATATGGGTGAAAAATACATGCAGATAAAAATTCATTTTTGAATATTTCTAGCTAAAGCATTTAGCTACTTGTGAAGTTTTCCTTTAATCATTACATTTCAACTTAATGAAATACACATGAAACTAAATTAGCAGTGGCTTCTATAAGAAAGTAAAAAAATATACCCCTCCCCCCAATGGCAATAGCAGTAAGAAAAAAAGTCCACAATTAAAATGGAACCAGCATTTTTGCCCCCAGGAAGCCCTTTCTCTTCTCTGATAGGCTAAGCCATCTACCACTAGCAAAACCTGTTGACAAAACACCTGCAGCTTAGAGATACTCTAACCAGAGAACCAGAACCTTGGGGGGGGGGAGGGATTCTGAAGCATAGTCAGCACTCTGGCTCTTACCCTGGAACTATTACCTCAACATTCTTCCCTTTTTCTTGACAACCCCTTTCCAGGAACACTACCTACTCACCCAACATGCAGGCACGAAGAAAACCTGGTCTCCTCTATCCCTGGGACAACATGGTACTGATCAACTATGGCGCGAGAGCAAATGGCACTTTGCTACTTTTCTGATTTTTACCACTTTATGTGGATGGCATGTCTAATTTTACGAAGCGGTATCAAGATATATTCTAGGCAATACATCTGTGAGTAAAGATGTTTGTCAACTGACCAAATGACTTAGGGAGGTGTAGCTCTGTGATTCCTACTCGTGTTTCCTAGTTGTGTACATAAAGTTAAAATGTTGACCTCCTGCACTGGCCAGTTTGGCTCAGCGGTTAGAGCGTCGGCCTGCGGTCCCGAGAGACCCGGGTTCGGTTCCCGCTAAGGGCACGTACTTCGGTTGCAGTTTGTCCCCGGCCCTGGTTGGTCGTGCGGGTGGCAGCCACTCGATGTGTCCCTTCACGTCGATATTTCTCTCTCTCTCCCTCCCTCTCTCTCCCTCCTACTCTACCTGTACAAAAAATGGAAAAATATCCTCGGGTGAGGATTAAAAAAATAAAATAAAAAAAATGTTGACCTCCTGTCGGCATTCCTCTCTGCAACAGACAGTGTCAAATATACAATCTGGACTGATGGGGGAAAAGAAAAAAAAGTCTTGCAGGTAAAACTGGTTCCTGTACTTTTATACCTCTAAAAGATTAGAAAGGTCATAAAGTATTGTTTGGTTAAAAACTGGTGAATTAGTTTACATTTTGTTACTTCACACACACACTTGCCTTTAATTTCTCTACCTACCACTGTGTAAGTTTACGTCAGCAGCAATTAGATTTCAAAGCTATAATACAAATAAATAATTAAATACTTTTAAGTTCTAGAACTGCAACAGTGAAATGCTTGGCCTCTCTGACTCCATCTTGTTCAAGCCTGCTTTGTTCCCATGGCTTTTAGGTTAATAGCTTCTGCTAAATCTTGCATACAGACATGCTAATCACTGGAGGAATTCAGCTTGTGGCTTTACTTGTACAAAAACAGCCCCTTACTAGAAACTGCCTCTCCCAAGGAGATAAAGAAAGCATGTACAAAAACAATGTTTACCACAGATTTGCAGGAACCTAACCTTATGACCGGACTCACATCAACTAGAGTCCTCAGACTAAGAACAAAGAAGTTTCACAATCTTTCTTGAACCCCTGCTGGTGCCCAGATGTCTACAGTCATCAATCACCTCTTGCCTCTCCTGTTTCCCTCATCCCTAGACATAAAAGAAGCCTGAATTCTGTGCTTTCTTAAGATGGTTCTTTAGGACGCTGGTGTGACATGTTCTTGGCTTTCTGAATAAAGTCGCTTTCTTTGCCCCAACTGCTTGTCACTCGACTCACTGGCTGTCACACATCGAGCTTGGACTCGGTTACAAAATTAACTATACTACTTATTTTTCAGCAGGCAGCAGACAGTATATAGCAACATCTTAAACATTTGTGGGATTACTGCCCAATTTGTTGACCTACATGACTAATTTTTTCAACAAACACATTTATTCTAGTGAACTGAAATTCCTAAAGCAGCTGATAACTTTGAATTCTGATATATCTGGTGTGCTAAAGTATTTAACATAAAATTATATAAATATGACTTAGAATAATCATTGGATTTTCATAACATGGTAGGTTATCACTTCCTAGCATCAGTACATGTAAAAAAGTGGATTCTATTTACCTCATTAACATGTACTGAATTCTCAAAGATCCATGGAATATAAAGCTATTTTAATAAATGTATACCTTATAGCTTTATATTGCTATATTACAATTAAAGTTATTCTGTATAAATACACAGAAAACTATTCATGTTTCTCAAACATTGCTCCTCTACTATCAAATGCAAATGCTTCTTATCCTGGAGAAAAGGTACCTGAGTATGTGAGAGCATGTGTATGTGTGTGCACAAAGATCAGATGATATCAACAGATAGTAAGTTTTACATTTGCTGGAAGGAAACAAAAACTCCTAAAAAACGTAGGGCTCTCTTAACTGGTGGTATTGAAACAAGGTATATATTTCCAGAATTATGAAGCAAAAATATAATTTGTCTTTAAAGAGTTCTTCAGACAAAATGCGTTCAGAGAAAACATCCTCTATTAGATAATGCTTACTACAGAAAGTTTTTTTTTTTAATTCTAAGTTGTTAAAAATCAAATCATAAGCCACTTGCCCCCAAATCCCATGCCAAGGTATGATTATAAATGAACGCATCATCCCACATGCTTTCCGATGAAAGATGCACAGGTTTCTCCAAAAACATTTACAAGGTAAGCAGCACCCTCCTTCTTCATCAGTCTCCTTTTTCTGTTACACAGAACTTAGATTTAACTGTGGAACCAGCAGAGTACAAATACAGCATAAACAAACTCTTTCCAAACATACAAATGATGCTTACTTCAGCATAGCGAGAAAAGCAGCAGGTTCGACATCTGGTATACGGATTTCATCTTTGTCCTCAGCAAGTTCTCCGTAAAACATTGCATGGAACACAGAGCTCCCAACAGCTAAAACATACTGTGGAGAAAGGGAAATCTTATTTCATGCTCTAAATTGAAACATTTTCAGAAATCAACCCAGAAAAACAGCTCTAAGCAATCAGGCTTAGTGGACACAGAGCACCTTGACCTGCTCTCTTGTCACAGCCAAGGTACAGAGTGAGTGTCTCTTGCTGTGACAGTATAAGATAGCTGCTCGTGCAAACCAGTACCTATGCTGCTAATTATCTCAAGGCTTTAACAGATTAATGCTCCAGTTCCCTTATTACAAAATAAATAAAGAAAAGAAAAGCTTATGTGACTTCTAGGGGAAGAGCAAACATATGACTCTCCTAACCTGTCACAACAAGTCCCCATGACTGGCGAGTTAAAAGGGCATGTTTTTGTGTGAGATATAAAGCAGGGTAAAAGGAACAAAGAAAAAAATTAAGCGTGGCCAAAACCCTTTGGAGAGGCTGAGCTTTCATAGTGATCGGTGAAACATGCACTGTCTGCCATCATCAGCAAGCTGCCCACCCCAAATTCCAGGCTGACAGAGAGGGTCCCTCTTTGTAAACCTCAGGACTAAACCGGTAATGCAGCTGTTGCTTACTTTGTGTCCTGGCAACCGCTGAGTCCCACCTGGTGGCCCAACCACAAAATGTACATCTGCCATCAAATCATTATTGAACATCACCGCATTTCTATAAACAGAAGCAATTCATTAATTCACAGCAGCCAGCATTTTTAATACCCCCTTTCCAATATACAAAACCCACAGAAGACTTGCAAGTTAAGCAACAGTTTAATAACTTTACGGTAAAACTACAAATGAAGGTTCCAACTAAACAACTGTGTTTGTAATCATTGCAAGCACATGGGAAGTAACTAAAGTTAAAAAAAAAAAAAAAAGTTAGCCAAACTTTTCATCAGACTAAGGATAAAATAAAAGGTTTCTGTCTTCTATGGTCCATAGACATACCCCTGTCACTTAAATGTTACAGCTTGCAAAAACATTTTTATCTAAGAGGAAAACAGCTGTACTGTTTTGGAAAAGGTACAAGGCAGTTTTCCATTACCAAAAAAAGCTGCTGGGAAAAGAGGAAACACAGATTTATATTAAAATACAGTATGGGTTGTGCAAAAGCAGAAACTTCAACACAGGAAAACTTTTAAAGTAAACATGCTGGCCCGGCACTTACCTTTCTCTGATGGTAGGATAAAGACCCTGCCAGTTTGGGGCGGGAATAAGGTTGTTGTTACTGAGGTTCTGTTGGTGGTACTGCTGGACAGTGGTGCTGCTGGAGGTTGCTGGTTTTTTGCGGGGAAATATATCAGCAGCCATCTTCTTCTTTTTAGTCTTCAAGGTAATTATTTCATAACAAACTGGAGACAACTTGCTGATGCTGCTGCTGCTGCTGCTACTGCTGCTGCTGCTGCTGGTATTTGTTTTCTTTGAGCTTTTCTTGGACCTGTTCTTTACCGTCTCTGGAAGCATCAAGAAGAAGGTGAGACATTTCATGTTCTTTTCCTTGTCATCTACCATGAGTACAGTATGTCTCTCTTTAGAGCTAGATATCCCAAGATGGTACGAACATCAAGGAAAAGAGGCTCACACGAGCTAGGATGTTAACAGAGACCAACAAGCTGATATTTCGCTTCTTTTCTCAGCCAGGCAAGGTGACCTTTTCACTATGTTGAATAGTAACTGGCTTTAAGTTTTATCCAGTACTGGGTCTGTTAAATACATACCCGTCATGATTCCTGTTTCTCTTATTTGCTCATAAAAATAACCCAGTTTCCTGGATCACCTGAAAATGCTACAGGAGCGAAGATGACAGGCAGAGAGCCGTAGCACTTGTTTTCTGAATTAGGTTAGCAAGATGTGCTGGAGCCGCGAGTCTGTTCAGCCGGCTGAAGTTGTGTGGTGAATGGATCAGAGGAGAGTAGGTATTACAGCCCTGCAGATGGAGTCAGACAGCCAGTGCTCGGAGCCAATAGCTGAAGTCACCAATCATGATTGGACCAAGCAAAACAGTGACACCTATTGTAACGTGCACAGTTCTGATATTAAAGGAACAGCAGATGCATTCTCTTGTCTACTGTATTATTGTACATTTAAATAAGATAAACAACCTGTGAAATACATTTGAAAACAGAAGAGTTTGTGCTCACAGATTTCTCTTCAGTAGACGTACATTTTTATTTCTCCAGTTAAACAAGCAGGATCAATTAACAAAGGGTAAGAATTGATGTCTACTCTGTATCACTAGTAAAATCTTTATCCTGGCAGCAATTAGTTTCAAATACTTCAAACAAAATCCTCCATTCTAGCAGCTAAGAGGAATTATTAACAGCAAAACCATACAAAACACATTTGTCACAGCTTAATGGAAAAAATGTTATTTTTCTTTTTCTTTTTTCAGTCTCTTTGAAAGTAATTTATAATCTAGTTGAAAATAAGAGATGAGGTCATGTATTCATTTTACCTCCCAGTGTTTTCTAGCTCCCATAATGATTTTTGACAGGCGTCCCAGATCACAACATACTGTTAATTAGACTAAGATTATACCAGTAGGCTTAACTGCACTGAAACAGACAAATTCTAGATGTAAAATAAGAGTCAAGTGAGACAAATCTAAATCTGGTGGTCAGTGCTGAAAGGTTGTAATTCACTGCAGTGTGGTGACTTTGAGGGGAGTGTGGGGGTGGAAGAGGGTATAGGGGGGTAAATGGTGATGCAAAAAATAAAGCAAAATAAAAGTAAATGAATAAAAAGATTGTAATTCACTAAAAATATGTCAGACGGGACCTTGTTCAGGATTTCAAAATGCAACCAAAATAGTATGGCTATATTTAGCCTTGTCATAATTTTAAAGAATATAATTCATAACTTCTAACACAAAACAAGTAATATGGCTTTCAATGTGATACATGTTCTGATGCTGCCTAGTTAAAATGCAAACAGGTCTTCTCTGCTTGAATCAGAAAACCATAAACTACTGTGTGGTTTTTATAGACAAGAATCCTCCAAGAATTTCTAGCTTTAGTGGGTTAAGAAAAAACAAAAACACCTGCTGTATGTTCCACACATGCTTATTATTTCCTAAAGAGGGACTAATAAGGAGATGTAATCTCACCCCTACCTATTTGTTCCCAATGCAGGAGCCATTTCTGCCCCCCAACTGAATGTACCCTCGTGACCAGGCCCTGCTTGGTTGCACAACATCCATCTGAATAAAGAGTTCACAAGAGGGCTCAACAAATAGGAGCTTCACTTGTTACTGTAACTGGTAATTTACCAGATAAAACACCAGAAATCACACTTTGGATCTCTGGGACCTTAAATCATTAATTGACTCAAGGAATACCCTCTTTATTGTCATTGTTATTCTTGAAACTGTAAATCTGCTGCAAGACAGACCGTGTATGTAAAGAACAAAGATCTTTAGCAGGTTATTCATCCTCATTTTACATGGACCCCAAAAAGCTGCTTATTTATCACTATTATCATGTTTGCAATCACAGGGCTAACTACCACACATATACACACTTCCAGGTCACCTTCAAACACATTTTAATACACAATGTGTGTGTGAAAGAGAGAGAGGGAGAGACCAAGAAACTAGTTTTTAAAAGCACATGGTAAAAGCATGAAAAAGAAAAAAATGAGTTCCTATTTGAGGTAACCATTCAGGATATGATTATTTTTAAAAATCAAAGGACTTATCTCTTGCTAAACTGCTACTAAACTTTTTGACCACAAACCTCCGAGGAAAGCCACCATGACAGGGAGGTCCTCTGACAGGTCAGAGCTGCTTTGAGATTGACATACTAATAACTGGCAGCTGGACAGACAAAATAGAAAAGATATAAAAAGCAGACAAGAACCTAGAAGGCTCTATGGTTTTCATTCATTTTGCATATAGTTCAACACTCTTTACTAAGAAAGCCTCCAACAAAAATTGTTCTTACACCAGTAAAATGAAGGGAAATGTGCACACAGCCAGTTAAGAAAGAAAGTTACATATTTTAGAAAATGTTCTTTCTGAAATTAAAGGTTTCAGTTATTTGGAAAATTAAGTTTTGTGGAAAAGCTCAGCTATGCTAGTTAAATGAAGCAGTGCTAAATCTGAATCACCTAGAACAATGCTGCAAAGAGCGGCATTATTATTCATGAACATGGGGACTGACAAGCATGGTTGTTTACAAAGATGTAGTCTTGACTAGAAAAGTAATCCAATTTAAAAAATAAGAATGACATTAAAATTCTTGTAGCCAATTTGAAAAGCATAAAAAATGTTAATACAATCAAGACCATGGAAAACACATAGCTACCTTGTCTTCCCAAGGCCCGTGCTACGGAGAGCGTGGCCCTGGAGCAGCAGCAGGAACACTGTCTGCGAGCCTGCTAGAACCCAGAGGCTCAGCCAGATTCTAGATCAGAATCTGCACTTTAACAAGACCCTCCAGGGAAGTTGGATGACATTCAAGTTTGAGAAAACCTTTTCTGGATAACTAAGAAATGCTGCTGGGTCTACCCAATTACCCAGTAACAACCTCTGGCATCACATTTTACATTCAATTATCGTGTCAATGAAGAAATAATTCAAAATAATTTAATTTGGTTTGGACATGAAACTTAGCAACCTTCATGTCTTGTTCTGAATTTCTTCTGATTAAGCCCTATATGTCAAAATTCAGGTGTGTAAACAGCCAAGTGAGAGGCCCCCATTTTTCAACTCTCTGTAAAAGAAGCTCAAGCCCAGATTATTTTCAAGGACAATGACAGAGATTATTTTGGTGGGAAAAATAAAGGGTTTAAAAATGCCAAGTGTGACACAGATGCTACTTAATATTTTTAAATGATCTACTTCACAATTTTATTTCAAAAAATTACTGCTGTGGCACAGCAAAACTGGCAATCAAGTAACCTGCTCCAGACCTGGCCCAACTACTAAAACTAAAGAGTGTGTGCTGGGGTGGGGTCCTGAACAAGCCACTGAGCCTTTAAACACCGCAGTTTTCTCAGCTACAGAATGAAGAAGCTCATCAAGAACAGATGAGTGTTTCTCCAACTTTACCCTCAATCCACAGCAAGAAATGCATTTTATATTCAGACTTGGTACTAAGGTACAGACACCCCCCACACACACACATATGCAAATGGAAAGACAGCTTACAAAATTAATTCTTAACATGTTATGATAAACTTTGAAATTTTCTATTTTATTCTTTTTTTTTTTTTTTTCTTTTCTAATGTTGGTCTTGGTTCATTCCACTGATTTCATGAGCACAGTAGAGTCTAAGTAATAATGGTCTAGATTATTTCTAAAGACTTTTAAGGTTTAACATCCTAGGGTCTTTTTCTATCAAGAATCTGTACTAGGGGCAACCAGATGAGGAATAAGGCATTACTGCATCAACTTAATGAAGCCCATGAAGTCCCTTAAATTGCACGCAAAATTGGGAGTGTGCATTTATTTTTCTGGAAAGAAAAGCCATAGCTGTCATCTGTCTTTCAGAGTAATCCATGATCCAGAACACAATAAAATGTTATAAAGAACATCTAAGATTGATTTGAATATACAAAATATTCATGTCACTTTATTCTCTGCTTTAATTTCTATGGTCTATCTCATTAAACACAAATTATGGCTTCTTCCCCATACCCCTGAAATTAAATATAAATAGTTAAAACCCCATTTATTAAATTTGTAACCAAGAAACACCACCTGTACTGGGTTGAAGGGTAATAAAGGATACCAGCCCTGTATCTATTGTCAAATTTCACCTCTAAAATTTTTGTCCAACTAACACTGTATCACTTGTTCTTACATCTTCTGACTTTTAAAGTGGTTATGAAACAAGGTTAATCTGCTCTAATGAAGTAAATAGGCCAAGAAGCCCATCAATCTTTTATGAGAGTATTCTCAAAACACCACATGCTGATCATGCAGTATGTTAGGTGTTGGGCACACAATGGTGAGCAGGATTAGGAACTAAGCTTAAAAGGCTATTAGCTAATAATAGAATGTTTCAAATTATCTTTATAATGGCCAGAAAGTTCAATTGCCTTTATCATTCAATTCCCAATAATAACAAAATTATCAACTTAAGCTCATTAGATCATCCTCTTCACCACCAGGAGATCTGCTAGAAGTCCCATCTTTATTTAATAGAACCCCATATGTTCAGTTTGGGGACTTGAATGAGGTTTGGAACAAAAAGAGACTCTAGAAATAATTTAATACAACACTGCCCCACAGATAAGTAACTGGGTGTCCAAAAGATTGAGAGATTTGTGGAAGGTCCACAATTAAGGAGTGGGGCAATGTCTGCACTAGAATGCAGATTCCCTGATGGCTTGCCCAAGTTTGTCCATTCCACTCACTCTGATGTTCACCCACAGTAACTGCCCTACATCTTTACATAATGTTTTATTTTCATATTTCTATTCTATTTTAAAATAAAAAAATATATGTGCAAAACTTATAGACATGAAAACCATGAACATACATATTTTGCACCCTGAAGGAGGTACACTGTAAGAAGAATGCTAGAAAGGCACTTTCTGGAAAGAAATAGAGAGGAACTATAACAAGAAGGACCATAAAAGCATAACTGCCATGAGCAAGCTTCTCAAAAACAGAAGAGGCTCTCCAGGTAAAATGAAAGTTTGAAAACCAGCCATTCACGGTTAATACCAACAAATCTTATGTCGACAATGCTGGCAGCTCTTGTTTAACCTGTTCTAACTCTGGACTGTCTGGACTTGTATTTAGTTTACTACAAGACACCTGAACAGCTACAGCAGTGAGGTTAACTGAGGTTTAAAAAAGGTAGTGTGGACTGAAGAAATGAGTTATCACTCCCACAAATTATTAATAGAACATAACAAAGGAGAG